ATCTTCAAACTACCCAGCCCCCAGCCTTCAACATTCCCTCAGTAGATGCCCAGAGAAGGGAGCCAGTAAGTCCTTAAATTGCCCAAATATCTGGCCCTGAACCTCAGAACTTTTGAAGGCTAGTTATTTATACTTTTTTATTTATTCTTTCATTCAAACAACATGAATTGAGTGCACCTTTCAGAAATATGTTGAACACAGAGAACTTGGAAATGTGTAAGACCTAGTTTCCATCCTTGAGAAGCTTATAGTATAGTAGGCATAGTGTAGACTGACAAGCAATGAAATTATTATGATCTGGAATGACACCTACTATAATATGTGTGTGGGAAGTCCCTGGGACTTAGGTCACAGCCTTTGGGCATCAATTCTCTGTTGCTCTGACAGGAGTGAAGTGTCCAGATGTGTCATTGACATCACTTGTGGGTGGTGGGTGAGGTCTTTGGCCTTCAAAATGGCTTCTGAATGTAGGGCAGGAGCTGAGATGTTGTTCTATGGTGGCCCAGCTAAGGTGATTAAGAACACATGGGACCCGAGAGCCAGGAGTCCCTGGACAGGAGCTTTCTGGGAAGAAGGAGGAAATAAAGCTTTCATCTGAGAGAAGTTGGATCTGAAAGGGAAGCCAACTAAGACAATGAGAGGCAGAATAGTGTGCTGGCTAATAACATGGGCATTGGAGTCAGACAATCCCATCCCCCCTCTTCTCTTTTAAATAACAAGATGAAGCTAAAGGAGTCTAAGAAAAAACAAAGCTAAAAATTAATAAAGGCAAAATTAATCAGAGATGTTAGAATTAAAAGCAGACCCAGAGATTAGCAGTCTACATCTGCTGAAGTGACAAGACTTACAAATCTAAGGACATTGCATATTTAACTGTGCCATTGATCAAAGAGTTATAGGAATGGTTCAGAGACAGAGATGCTCATGTCATGTCTGTCAGGGAGCTTTGGGGGAAGGGGGAGATCATATTTGAATGATAACTGACAGGAGTAATAATGATGTGATTGATAATAATGGTGATTGATTTCATTTCACCAGTGTTTCTGGTAAATATATATAAGCTGTATAATATTTTTCCACTGCATTTTATTTTAATTTTATAGAATGAGATAATAATTTAATATGAGATATGTAAATAACTTTAATATCTTTTTGACAGGACATTATTATTACAATAATGATTTTGGACCTTCTAGTTACATGGAGGCTAGAGGAGCAGCCATCCTCTTCAAAGCTTGAATATGTTATAACCTGGCCAAAATCTGAGTCTTTTCAAAACACTGTGGGAACACGAATTTACACTGGGCCTTCAGGAATAGCTAAGGAGAGCTGGAAAGAAGATGAGGGTAGTGGTCAATAATCCCACTGTGATGTTTTTAAAACATGTCTGAAAATTCTTTGACACTCTTCTCATTGAGAAATGGGGTTGATGTTCCCTTCCCTTTGAATCTAGGCAGGCTTGTGACTCGTTAACCTATAGAATATGGTAGAAATGATGCTATGAGGCTTCTTAGGCTAGGTCACAAAGGGCCATGCAGATTTTACCTGGTCCTCTTAGGAGGCTCTCTCTGGGAGAAGCCAGGTACCATGTAAAAAGCCCCAGAACCACCCTGAGACCATCATGCTAGAGAGGCCAGGTGTAGAGCTCCCAGCTGGCAGCCAACATCAACTGCTGGCCCTCTGAATGAACCTTCTTTGATGTCCAGCCCAGTAAAACCTTCAGATGACTGCAGCTCCAATCAACATGTGACTGCAAATGCATGAAAGACCTCAAACAAGAATCACCCCGTTGAGCCCATTCTCAATTCCTGTTCATCCACAAAATTGTGAAAAAACTAAAATAGTTATTTCATGTCACTAATTTTGAGGTGATTTGTTACACAACAATAGTAACCAGGACACCTACTAATTTTCTCCCATTAGCAACTTATCTTCTTCCCTCTAAAGTTACTGGCTTTGTGGAGGATCCACTAGTCACTAGATGCCCTTGTTAACCCCCACAAGATTAACTATTTTCATGCCTCAAAGTTTTACCCAGGCTGGGTTTATCCCATCTACACTGGGGCCCACCACACAGCAGGTAAAGAGATTCCAACTTGTCTTGGTCCATCCAGTCTGCCATAGTAAAATACCAGAGACTGGGTGGCTTATAAACAACAGAAATTTATTTCTCATAGTTCTGGAGGCTGAGAGGTCTAAGATCAAGGCGCCAGCAGACTCAGTGTCCTGTGAGGACCCACTTTCTAGATGGCTGTCTTTTCACTGCAACCTCACACGGCAGAAGGGATGAGAATCTCTCTGGGGTCTCTTTTATAAAGACACTTATCTCATTCATGGTGTCTCCACCCTCATGACCTAATCACCTCCCAAAGGTCCCACTTCTTAATACAATCACCTTGGGGGTTAGGATCAACATATGAATTTCAGGAGGGCATAAATATTCAGACCATAGCACAACTCAATGCAGAACAAGCAAATATAAGTCCCTGCCTGGAAAGTGCCCACTCAGAGGTCTGCTCCAAATAAGTAGGAATTTTGTTTGGTTCTCACTGTATCCCCACTGTCCAGAATGGCACCTGGCACATAAGATGTGCTCAACAAATATTTCTGTTGTGAATGGCTGAAAAATGAATCGACGGATCCCAGGATGCCTCGATGCACCCCTAATCAAGTCTAGAGAATCAATTTTTCCTCCACCCACTGGGGCCTCACCTGTTGGAAACCATGTTTAGTGTCAGAACCATACCCGATTACTTCTGATTTTCTGTGACTGTCCTGGAGTCTCAGATCTAAAGGTAATTCACTGCCCTGCTTCTTTCTTTCTTCACCCTGATTAGAGTTACCAACAGCAAGAATCCTAGTGATGCTTTGTGATTAAAGGCTCAAATTGGACTTAGAAGCTTCTGAACCCCAAGCTTTGTTTTTCAGTTCTTCATATTAAAAGACAGATAGTAGAAGCTAACATTTAAGTAAGGTTCTTCATACTTTACATATATTAAAATAAGCCATGCAACACTCCAGGCAAAATATTATTATCCCCATTTTTTGGATGAGGAGACTGAGGAACAGAGAGGCTATGTCATGTGCTGAGCTATTAAGTAACAGAGCAGGGATTTGAACCCAAGCAGTCTGGATTCAGACCACACTGCTCCCCAGTCCGGCTAGAATTTGATTGGTGAATCTCAATTGCTTTCCACCCTGAAATACACACAGTCCCTATGGATTTGAGGCCAACCAGCATAGATTCATCATTATCTGTGGCTTTGAATGCACAAACATAGCTGAATATGGGGCTTGCATGTTCTCAATGGAGGGCAGCAAGTTCCTTCTGCACAGAGCTTGTTCATCCTTTTTCTTTTATCTTATTATATATTTTAACTCTGACTTTTATTTTGTTTTTATTTATTTTATTTATTTATTTATTTTTTTTGGTGAGGAAGATCAGCCCTGAGCTAACATCCAATGCCAATTCTCCTCTTTTGGCTGAGGAAGACTGGCCCTGGGCTAACATCCGTGCCCATCTTCCTCTACTTTATGTGGGACACCGCCACAGCATGGCTTGACCAGCAGTACCTTGGTGCACGCCCGGGATCCGAACCTGTGGACCCTGGGTCGCCAAAGCGGAGCGCAAGCACTTAACCGCTGTGCCAGCGGGTCGACCCCTTAACACTGACTTTTAAAGAATACTTTCCAAGAATGTCTCAAATGTCTACAAGCAAGTAGCTTATCACGTGGATTCCAAAGCCTGCTCAAATGTAAGCCCCACATCTGTGGCCGCTTCCTCAGGGAGCCCCATCTCAGCAAGGTGAGTGATTTCACTGGCAAAGCAGATTGGGCTTCAACCTCCAATCAGAGGTCATTTTGACACTTTTTTATTCCAGTTTCTTAAGAAATTATATGTCCAAGAATATTGGAGCAAAACTAATTTCCAGTTTGCCACTTTTTAAAAAATGAAATGACAAAAAACTTATTTCTTCCAGGTGAATTTCCAAAATATCACACAGATTTTGTTCTCTGTCTAGAATTTTCATGCTCAAACTCTGATTTCTCTCAAAAATTTCAACTTTGACTGTAGCCACAGTTGTATGATGTCTTTTCATCTTTGTGAAGTTATTTCAAGAAACATCGTGGCTTGAGTCTAACAGACCTCTGTTCTTCTGCATTATTATTTCAAACATCAAGCTATCCAAGTGAAACAGCACTCTTCGTTGACATCGAGAATGACTATTTCCATTTGGAGTATAGATAAATGCTGCTCTATTCTAAAATTGGGGCAGGAGATCTCCTAGTTAGGAACCAAGGTGACTGTAACACGGCTATGTCTCTTCAATGTTGTTGAGTTTGAACAGCAGCCTTCAACAGGCAAAAAATAATGAAAATGAGTTCCATTCTATCTCAAATCTCTTGAAAGAAATTTTCAGGTATCCAATCTGTAACCCTCTGAGATATTTCTCATGTCCTCTTTTTCCCTAGTTTTCTGAGTCCAGAGCATCTCATTTGCTGAATGCCCCAAGCATTCTCTCCAGGAAAACCCTCAAATCCAGTTTCTTTAGAATTTACCAACTTTCCAGCTCACCTCTCTCTCTACAGTTCATCATTTGTAGGTTGACTCAAGTCAACCTTTCTTTCTACCTCCATGCTCTCCATCCTCTTTGGTCTCATTCTTCTCAATTTCTGACCTTCTATACCACCCTCAACACAGATGGGGGATTCTGATGTCAGACCCTCCCTCCTCACATATTACACAAGAAAAGTCATGTCTTTTGTTGAGGGTGTTCTCAGCAACTGCTCTCCACACCTCCCCCTTCCTCCTACATTTCCACCCTCAAAGTACCCACAAGGCCCCTCTGTGTGAAGAAAAATCTGACCCATTAATGTTCCAGCCCCATGCCAGGATAATTCCTTGGTGCTGGCATGCTAGAACTTCAGGAGCTGAGGGAGGGAGCCAACTAAACAGCTTTGGGTGGAGCAAAGGACAAGTGAGAGGCAGGTGGTGTGAGAAGAGACTTTATTTCTCTAAATAGTGAGACACAGGTCATAAAATTGAGAAGTACAGAGGAGGGGGAGCCCACATGCCCTTGGAAATACATGTGTGGGGCCTTCTGGGGAGAGCTCACCCCTCCCCTGTAAACATTTCAGTGGCTCAACCCAAGAAAAGGAGATTAGGGTGTCCAAGGATGGCTGCATCAAGCTGAGGCTTTTCTTTGGGCCTTTGGATTCTTATTTCCTCTAAAATCCCTTGTCTCAGCATCCGGAGCCCAGGTCAGCAGCAGTCCCCAGAGCCCTGGCCACAGCCAGAGCCCCCGGACTGCTGACCACTGCCCCTGTCACAGGAGTTGGAGCTTCGTCGTCGGCATCGGTGGGACCTGCGGCGCCTGTGGTGGCTCAGGCAGCAGCCGCCCTCGGAGCTTGGAGCACAGCCGGAGGAGGCTGGAGGGAAACACTGCACTGGGCTCTTCGGGGGGCACTTGGGTGAGGGGCACTTGGGAGGGGGCTGGCACTGCTGCTGGTTCTGCTGGCAGGACATCTCGGCAGGAGGTGAGTGAGCCTGGATGGATTAAAGGAAACGGTCAGTGCAAAGGCTCCAGGCCTGTGTCTCCTCCATGAGTGGTTTTATAAAGCCCTTGCTCCTGATACTGGCTGCTTCCTGAGCTGTGATCTACAGGAGAAAATGGAAACCAATCTCAAGTTAAGTTGACCTGGCAAGCCATTTCCCTCACTTGACCCTCCTTCCAAAACCAATGCTATCTTTTAACTGATCCCCAAGTCTGTCTGTCTTTATAGAAAAATAGAAGCAAATACGCCCAGTTGGGTGATGATCCCTCAGGGGATGCTGTGAGCCAGGGCTCAGGTGTGTCACAGACCCTAATGTCACAGACCACAGAGGTTCCTTGCTCAGTGTCTCTGCCCTGTCCCCAGCTGCCCTCCAAGGTCTTCTTCTTGCTGTCTCTACAGACACCTTTGCTTTCCCCTTCACCACTCAAGTCTGAGTTTGTCTTCCCAACACTCCCAGCTGAAGTTTTGTCCCCTTCCAGAGACTCACCAGATGCAGAGGAGGCAGGAGAAGCTGTTCCTCAGGAGGCTGTGGATGAGGAGTCCAGGGCAGGAGCCCTTTTATCCTGTGCTGGGTTTGTGATGCACAGCCCGAGCATGTTGCTGCTTTCACACCCAGGGGGAGGGTGACAGCACCACACACTTCCTAGTTGCCTCCCTCCAGTGTCTTCCTGAGCAGGAGCCTAAAGTTCTAGTTTGTGACTGCCAAATTACTCAGATCTGCTCTGGACCCACTGCTGCCCCTTTATTCATTCATTCACTTCCATGCCTTGACACAGGCTCTGTCCCTTTTACTTCATCCAACAGTAATAATATAGAGATATACATGACACATTTCTTCCCTGAGTACCTCACAGCCTAAATGGACCCATCACTTATACAAGTAAATATACTGGATTTGATGAGCTGTATGCTATCACAGAAGTGTTTACAAAGACCTCAAGCCTAAGATTCTAGCTTTTGGAAGTCAATCCCCCATTGCACTGTAAGCCTCAAAGGGTGGTGGAACCTTCAGATGTTCTCTGGGGGTGACAGCTGGGCAAGATCATTGTCCTGTGGGAGTGTGATGTGTGGGGTAAGGGAACCAGTTCTTGTCTAAGACAGAAAGGTTCCTAAGAGGACCTCATGATCCCCATGTGACAGCATGGGGAGCAGCGAGGAGTTAGAGTAGAGAAGGGACTTACAACTCTAGAAGTGACAATATTCACATTTGACATTATTAAGAAGAAGGAAGAGAAGGGGAGGAAGAGGTGGAGAATGGGAAGAAGATCCACTTCTTCGTTATTGTTCCATTGTGTCCACATCTGCCTGACCGTGGGATATGCACTGTTGATTCTAACACTGTAGAATTTGATAGAAGGAAATGGTTCACGCGCTTGGAAGAGTTAAGGAAAAGTTGTGCAAATGATGATAATGAACCATTTTGCAAAGATGGTTGATAATTATGAGGTAGACAATGCTAGAGGTGGTATGTGTACCTTATTTGATAGCATAGCCCTCATAGCAGCTAAGCTTTATGTAAACTGAATACTATTTTCCCATTTGATTTAATTGTGATATTACAGAATATTCTTTATCAAATTTTTTTTCAAATATGATAATAAAATGTATTACATCATATTTACCAAAAAAAATAAAATTATCATTGGAACTTCAACATTCCCATATTTAAATTTAATTAAATGAAATTAAATAAATTTTCATCACAGTGAATGTAATATATTACATTCTGATTTGCTGTAAGCCTAAAGGACTGGCTACCTGTTTTTAGCTACTAAATTAATAGTAAAGGCCACAGTTTCCTTTTTCTCTCCAATCTACAATTTGCTCATTTTGAATCAGTTCCAAAAGTTCTTTCAAGATACGTACGAGAACACGAATGGTCCTAGACGTGGAGAATGGGGTGAAGGCTGGTGGGCAGGGGAAAGTGGGGCAGGTTTCCATGTCCTCTCTGCTTCAAAAACAAGATCCCAATTCTTCCTGGGTATATTTTCCCCTTGGATATCCCAGGTAGGATAAACACTAAACAAATATTTATGTTTGTGACGACTGAGCCCTAAGGCAAACTTTAGGGGTTACAGGGTAGACAGAAAGAGAACTGACTTTATCTCAGGGTTCAAGTCTAGCTATAGAGGGAATAATTATTTTTCCGTGGAATGTGCTTTTTCAGAAATAAGTCCAGAAGCTTTTTTTTTTTTTGGTGAGGAAGATTGGCCCTGAGCTAACATCTGTGCCAATCTTCCTCTATTTTGCATGTGGGACGCCACCACAGCATGGCTTAATGACCAATGTGTAGGTCCACACTTGGGATGCAGCCTGCGAACCCCAGCACACAGAAGAAGAGCACACGAACTTAACCACTACACCACCGGGCCAACCCTCAGAGGCTATTTTTAACCTCAATGATGAGCGACTTTGACTTGCTGTGGGACTACATCTTGGGTGTAACACATGCCCCCTGGGCAGTGTGGCTCAAACCATTTCAGAGCCTGTCAGCAGATGTGCTTCCCAGCCTCACCCCCAAATCCCTGCCTCCATATCCTGATGTGCCCATTTTTTCCTCCTTGAGATGGAGCTCGTTCATCTCACACCTCTCTCATGGAACCTCCCCCACATCAAAGTCAGCCCTTTGCTTCTCAGAGTAGAGTCCACAGTGAGCCTGAGGTGACAGAAGAAGATACTTGAACCCACATCCCACAACATTCCAAATGTGCTGCACTCTAAGGACATCTTAGTAGCCCTGACATCCTGTGGAATCTGGGATAACACACAGGGAAGAAACTTACCCGGTTGTCCTACAGTGAGGATTTTATGGTATCATGACGTGTGTGTTGGTTCTGGAACAGGAAGTGCTTTGTCTGAGGCCTGGCTCCAGGATGAGCCTTCTGAGCAAGGCATGTTAGTTAGTAATAAATGAGCAAACGAAGAAACACGGGTCAGCCCTTCTCCTGGGCAGTTTATGATTGATGCTGTGGAAAGAGGAGGATGAGATGAGCAAGCCCAAAAGTGATGTGCTGGGAAGATATTTACTCCTTGAGTTCATGTCATCTAGTTTTCTTATTATCAGATTTCAGGTGCACAGATTTGGATTAACAATAAACCTTGGTTTGTATATATGCTCATCATTGGTGCATGCAAAGCTCTCTTAATTAATTCATCTATCTGCTTATCTATCTATTATTCAAATAACAAACACACAAAGATCCACCCCCAAGTGAAAACCAGAACTTCGATAGTAAGTTATATGTGCCTACTTACTTCTCCCTCATCTATTCCCCTTTTTGTCCCAACTGACGTAACCATCATCCTGAATCTTGTATTTATCATTCTTTGCTTCCCCTTTAATATATTTTATTACATTTATATGTATTCCTAAAAAATATGATTTAAAAATTTTTTATTTTTAAGTCAGATTTCTCAGGGTACATTTTACATACAGAAAAAAATCACCCATTTAAGTGTACAGTTCTATGAGCTTCAGGAGGAAGGGCTGGCAATAGGATGATCAGGTCTGTGGGAGAAAAGACAGTGGGTGATGTCCCCCTCCCAGTCACACTCCAAGGTCCAGCTAGACCTTCTGAGGGGCCCCAAGTGTGATGTTAGCACCACTTCCATTAGGCTGATCTCTCTGTATTATCATCCAGAGCAGGATACCACTGAGCAGTTACACTGGGACACCAGTTGTAACTAGGACATCCCAGGTTGACCAGGAGGGAGAGAAGCCCTATTTTTGTGGAAGGTGATGAAAATAGAAATGAGTTTCCCACTATTCTCTCCATTTTCATCCTCGCCATGGAGACTGTGTGAAAAATAGTCTCTTCTCATCCCTCATATTTTCTCCTATATAACCCAGTATTTACTTGCGGGGTTCTCAATGATGTGAGAAAAATGGCTGCCAATATTGAAAGCATGGCCTCAGGGGGGTCAAGAACCTCTTCTGGAGACAGGAGGATGTCAGTGAGGGCTTAATTCCTTCCCCAACCGTCCCTACCTCCTCCATTCTGAGATAACACTCCCAAGGCCCACCACAAGCCCTTTCTCCACGGAGTCTTGAAATAACTCATGGGATCTCTATGCTGTAGTGTGGGTGAGTTTTAGAGTGAAGTGAGAAAAACAAAATTGTCTAAAGGCAGGAAACCAGTCCTATAGGTTTTAATAGTCTTTACGAATAAGGAATAAGACACATTCCCATTTAAAAAAAAGACTTCATTCAAAACATCATTTAATTAACTGTGTGTACTGCTTCACCACCTGCTTTTTACCAGTTAACAATAGGCCATGAACATTTTTCTCTGTAAGAATATATAAATCTATGATATAATATCATTGTAATAGCAAAAATTATTTAAATTATATACGTATTATTATAGTTTGTAGTCCTAATTATATATTTCTTTGACTATATCTAGATAGTATATTAGGTTCAAATGTGCAAATAGTTTTGAGTTTAGATGAATTCACTAAAAAAACCATACACATTTTCAGCTCTGGTGAATTGATCTATCTGTCCCTCAGCACCTAAGGGCTCTGCTCCCTCCACGCATGAAACTCCATGCTGTTCCCTGAGTCATCCGAGGGGCTCACTTCCCCCGGAAAGAGTTCCATCTCAGTCTGCATCCCTTGCCCCTATCTCATTGCCAGGAGCTCAGGAGGCAGCAGTGGATGAGATCTGAAAGTCATGGTCTCTGGGGCAATCTGGAAACGTTGTGCACATTAAATTACATTTACCACTTGGAATTTTTTTTATGATTTATCCATTTGTTTGTTTGCGTGTCTGTCTTGGTAGACTCGTGAATGCAAGAACAGAATTCTTTCAATGCTCTACCTGTTCCCAGGAAAGTACGCGAGACCCGATCTGAACCAGGGCATGTGAGCTGAAAGGAAGGAAGGGGGAGTGTCAGGCTCACAGTCGGCCCCAGGGGGAGGTTTGGGGGCAGTCATCATGCTTCCTGGTTCAACCTCGTTAGTTGGACATTATGCAATGCCCAGGAAAAAGGAGGGAACCCTAGTCCTGGGGTGTGCCAGGCTGTCACCCTCCCCCTGGTTGTGAAAACAGCAGCATGCTCTGGCCGTGCATCACAAACCAGCACAGGATAAAAGGGCTCCTGCCCTGTGGTCCTCATCCACAGCCTCCTCAGGAACAGCCTTCTCCTGCCTCCTCTGTATCTGGTGAGTGTCTGAGGCGAAGGGACTCTAGCTGAGATGCTGGAAAGGAACTCTAAGGTCATAGCTAAGGAGAGGGAAACAGAGGTGTCTTGAAAAAATCCCAGAAATAGGGCCATAGAAAGAACAGCAAAGGAGGAAATGAGGGCCAGGAAGGAGTCCCTATGGGGATATGACAAGAATTCTGGGACCTGTAAAGGCCATAGGAACTAATGACCCCTTCTCCTGCTCTTTCTGTTCACGTCCACACATGTTTCCTGTGACATCCACCCTTCAGAAAGCTTTCCCCAAATGCTGCATCCCCTGTGTTTCCCTTATGAAACAAAACCCTGGATGCCCAGTTAGATTGGCAGCATTGGTTCCTGGGTGGAGAGCAAAGTGGGAGGCATCTTTCATGACCGAACTAACTCCACATCAGTTTCCCGCCCCTCCTGCAGCCTTGACTCAGGAAGAAGCTGGTCCTAGAAGCGAGGGGTGGAGGAAACCAAGAGCCAGGAGACATTGAACTGTGGATTCTGAACTGACAGGGGCTTCTGTTTTTTCCAGACTCACTCATCTCCCGCAGAGATGTCCTCCCAGCAGCACCAGCAGCAGTGCCAGCCGCCTCCCAAGTGCTCCTCGCCCAAGTGCCCCCCGAAGAGCCCAGCGCAGTGTTCCCCTCCAGCCTCCTCCGGCTGTGCTCCACGCTCCGAGGGTGGCTGCTGCCTGAGCCACCACAGGCACCGCAGGTCCCACCGATGCCGACGACGGAGCTCCAACTCCTGTGACAGGGGCAGTGGTCAGCAGTCCGGGGGCTCTGGCTGTGGCCAGGGCTCTGGGGACTGCTGCTGACCTGGGCTCCGGATGCTGAGTCAAGCAATTTTAAAGGAAACAAGCATCTAAAGGGCCAAGGAAAAGCCCCAGCCTGAAGCGTCCTTTCCCAGATACCCCATCCTCACTTTCCCAGGCTGAGCTGGGGATGTTCCATGGAGGGTTCAGAGCTGTCTCCAGAAGGCTCTTTCTGTCTGATATCCAGGATCTCACAGTTCCCCCACCCCCTGCACCTGTAGTGATTGGCAGATCCCATGCCTGACTCTATGAAAAATAAAGCCTCTCTTCCTCATTATGCTGGAGGTTCATGTGTCATTTCACTCTGTCCCTCCCCAGGTGGCTGCAGGTCTGCCCCTCCATCTGCCCCTCAGAAGTAGCACTGTCCTACCGAAGATGCAGAACCATAGCCCTAGACTAGAAAAAATAGACGTCTGTCAGTCTCTTTATGCTGGATTGTGAGGCAGTGGGTGAGAGGAGGGGAGTGGACAGGGGCCTGTAACCATCAGTAGAAGGATTGACTTTTCCTATGAAATGTGGGGTGGGTGTTCCTCTCACAATGGGCTCGCCAGGCTCCTATGAGGAGCTACTATTTACTTTTGTCGAGCTGTTTCTGGCATCCCCATTATGAAAAAGAGAATGTGTGGCAGGCGATTATCAGAAAATAACAAGAAAAGGCAGTTCTCAACCAGGGGAATTTGTCCCTCCAAGGGACGTTTGTCAATATCTATGGACATTTTTGGTTGTTTCTAGATATTCAGGCGGGAGGGTCAAATCCTACTGACATCTAGTGGTAAAGGCGAGGGATGCAGCTAAACAGCACAGCAGCCCCGCCCCCCCACCTC